GGCTTTGCTCCCGGTGCCCCTGGTCTGCTGGAGACGGTCCCCAGCAGACCAGGGGCACCTGGAGCAGCTTTTCTTGCCCCCGAGGTCGAGGTGGCGGGACCGCTGCGCTCTGGACGGTCCCGCTGCCTGCGAGCTCCGGGGCGAGAAAGCCCCGTTCGTAAGTGCGGATCCGACATAAGTCGGATCCGCGTAACTCGGGGACTGCCTGTATCTATAGGAATAAGTGCAAACCAGAAGAGGTGAAGCACGTTTAATTTCTATATAAGGTTATCTATACAACCTCCTGGCTTTTAGGCTTATATAACTATACTATATTCCCACACACTGTAGAGCTCATTAAAATCCCTTCATTTATCTTGACCTCTTTCTAAATTTTCATATTTGACTTTTTAAAGCAGTACTGAAGTACTCTGCCTTTAACTAGAATTTTAGAACCTAAGTATGAGATTAAGAATTTAGCACAACATCACATCTTAAAAGCAGCAAGGTAATGGGATTTTCTAAACTCAGTTAAATCTTATTTTCAGTTCCATTGGATTGATAGATATTTCTAGTATTAGCACAGGTGAAACACCACACATTCCTTGTATACTAAAGCCTAATGCAGCTTCTCATTTACTCCCGTCACACCAGTTTGTATTCCCTTTTCACATGTGACAGGATCATGCACTGGAGATATATAAAGAGTATGTGCAGTAGTGCATAGTCTTGGACCATTCCTGGAGGTAACAGATAACGAAGCCATTTCATATCCATTTGTCACCACTGTCATCTCAAGACTTCTACACTGATTATATGGTGCTATGAATCTAAATAAAAGATCTAATTATATAACTTGATTCTACCAAGTTTTTGCAATAAAATGAAGCTTCATTCTGTATAATGCCTTTTATAAAGCTTGTATGCTAAAACTCTTTATAGAACCGTTACCAAATTCTGTACTTATACCACTAACACACGGGGGGCAATACACAAAAATGGCAGGTTACTGCTACTAAGTTTACCTGCACCTCTTCAGGTATTGGGCAATCACAGCTACTGATGGGTGCAGATGGCCAATTGTGGCCAATGGGAGCGGCAGGAGGTTAATCCCTGGCAGGCCCCCATCTCTATATTTACCTGCACTTCTGGGACACTGCTTTCCACCGCTTGCATTGGCTGTGAATGGCTATCCGCAGCCAATGAGAGCTGTGACTGTCTGATATCTGAAGAGGTGCAGTTAAATATAGAGATGGGGGCCTGCCAGGGATCAACCCTGCAGTCAAGATCTGACCCGCAGGCTGGAATTTGCTCACCCCTGCACTAACATCAGTAAGAGAAATTACAAGTAACCCAAGTTTATACCTGACTGCCATTCTTCATTAAGTGCACTTTCACTGCTGGGGTTGTTGTCATCTTCATCATCCAACTGTGTACCATTTGTCATGCGTGCTGCAGTATCTGCCTTTAGTGTACACAACTCCTCTTCACTGAATTCCTCATTAGGCTGCTCCCTAAGTAACTGTTCCATCGAGGCCTGAAGCTCTTGCAGGTCTGTATCTGCCTCACCAAACATACTGGGATAAGAGAAATATACACAAATAATATATACAGATGATACCAAACAGAAAGTTCTCAACATTCATCTCAACCTGAACCAAAAATTTTAGGTATATTCATGGAAAGAGGATGGTACTTCCCCTCATATTAGGGAGAAGAGTTACTCCAAACCTCATATTGTGTCAGTTGAGCTGTGACACTGGCAAATGATATGTTACAATTTTTTCTTAAAGAAAACACCTTGCATTCCCTTGGAAAGATGGCCTCTCTCTCCTTTACAGCTTGAATACAATGATTGACGAGAGCCTTCCCTTAGCTTGCCTTAGAGAGACCATTGGCTGGAAGCAGTCACAGCAGAATTCCCATTCTGCGGCACCTCAGAGGAAAATCTTACCGATGTAGCATTGCTCGGTTTTTACTTGCTCCATTTGGCCAAATCCATCACAATCAAGTGTGTGATGGAAGAAAGAAAAGAGTCCAGCATTAGTTTTATCTGATGAATAAAGTTCCACTAAGCAAAAGAAGAGTGGGAAAAAAACAGTTTCATTCACTGCTGCTCCAAAATAATGCAGGATCACTGTACCATTACTTGGTTTGTTATGCTGGAGTGAGACACTGAGTTTAGGATGGAAGGTAAATAAACAAGATGTAAAGCCCTATGGACAAATCTAAATTGACTGATGCTTAGAAATAGGAGGGTTAACTGGCTATGTTTTACTGAGGAAGATGCCAGGATTCAGAGTTACACTTATCCGAAATGAATCTTGACTGTAATAGTACAATTTAATTTGTGAAACATGATTAGTCATGGTAGTAAAAACCTGAAAAGCAGCAACAGTGTCCCATCTGTTTTCTATACCTATATAATACAATACAAAACACCCCAATAATATAATAATATATTTCAACTGTAGAATAGATAAAATATTTAAATTTAGCAACAGCTCATGACAGTAACTTATCGGGCCATTTTAAACGGTATGAGACTTAGAATATTTCTCCACAAGTCTTCATCCTCTGGTGGCATTTTATGCTTTGCCATGGACTCCTCTGTCCAAATTGAAATTTCACTAAAATAATTTGATACTTTTTTTTTGAAGACCATCTTCTCCACAGGTAAAAGGCCAGCATAATGGGGGCAATGGGTACATGCTGGGGAAATCAGTTAGGAAGGCAGCATGGCTATGTTTTTTATTCTATTACTACTAGGGCCGTCAAGCGATTAAAAAATTTAATCGCGATTAATTGTGTGCCCTTCCCCTTTGAAACGCTGTGTGAGGCAGTGCTGCATGGAGCCTGGGATCAGCAAGAGTCCCCAGCTGACCCCGGGCTCTATGCAGCACTGCCCCTTTGAAGAGCCGCGGCTGCCTCTCTAAAATACTACCTCTGGCCTTTTGAAGATGCAGCTGCCATGGAGCCCAGGGTCAGCTGGGCACTGCCCAGCTGATCCTAGGCCTTGCACAGCAGCGGAACCCAGCGTCAGCCAGGGGCTCCCTGCTTATCCTGGGCTACCTGGGGCAGCGGAACCAGGGATTCTGGGGAAATGCCGTGCAGATCCTGGGTTCCACTGCCACGCAGAGCCCAGGATCAGCTGGGAAGTCCCCAGCTGACGCTGGGCTCCAGGGCTGCCCCTTTAAAATGCCGCCTCTGCGTGTTTCAAAGGGGCAGTGGAGCCTGGGATCAGCTGGGGACTGAATGAACTTCAGGAGAATTCCAGACAGTAGTTGCTGACAGTGCATTTCAATGAGTTTAGAGATTAATAGACTCAAGATAGAGTGGTAACTGAAGAGGCAAAAGGTGTTAATGGTAGGGTTTCAATTTTTATTTAACATGGAGAGGACTTACACTTTTATTTTCTTAGCAGTAATATAGGTATGTTAGTCCCAGGCTGAGTGAGGTTATCTTTCTCTAGATGTAATTTTTTTCCCCAAAGGACAAAAGAGCCACATCATCATATTAGGGGCAAAGAGCCAGGTCTAACACGCTGCAGGCTCAGCCCGCATGCCAGGAGGGAGAATGCCAGGACTGGCCTGGCCTAGGCCCACTGAGGGAGAGGCAGACAGGGGCTGCCACACCTCGGCCTGGACCTCTCTGGCAGCTGGGGGGAGAGCCAGGACTGTCTACCCCCGGAGAGAGGGAGGTTAGTGAATGTAACAAGCAAGGGACAAATTTTTGCTTGAGTTTTCCAGGTACAAAAAACTCTTCCTTGGGTCTGGGAAAAGTATTCAGCTGTGACACACTGGGTACAAGATTGAACAGATACTTTAGAATAAGTAGTTAGCAAAACTCTAAAGGGATCATTGAAGGACTTCACCCTAAATAGTCTTTCAGAATATGTTCTAAATATTTATGCTACACTGACCTGTTACACCTTTTATATAAGTGGGCCATTCTGAGTACTTTTTCTGGATCAGAGCGATAGCTCTGTGTAGCTGGAAAATTTGGCTTTGTCTAGACTTCAAAAATTAAAGCACAGCCACATTTCTAGGTCTCCCAGTGCTGTCTATAAATCACCTCCGTGAGAGGAGTAGCTAACAGCATTGGGAGCCCATTTACACTGGGGATTTATAGTGAATATGTTGGACTGGAGAAGGTTCACACACCAAGAGACAAAAAGTTGCAGCACAATAAAGTGGCAGTGTAGATTTACTACTTGCCTCTTTCACCAATAGAAGTTGGACCAATAAATGAAAAAAATTGACGTAAAGGTGGTTGACATTAACAGGGATTATCTAGTATCTTTCAGTTAACGGACAAGGTCCTTACAATCTCTCTATTTTTTGCAATAGTTGGTAAATATTTTATGCTTACATGTCTTCAGAATCAGAATGCCCTTCTTTGACACGCTCATCTTCCATATCTTCTATTTCAAGACTGTCTTGATGTTGTACATCTGCTACAATGGGAACATCATCTAGCATTTTGTACAACTTGGAAAGATCTGGGAGTGAACATGTTCTCAACATCTAAAAAGATTATACAGATATTCAGATTAGTATAGTCCAAAAAAAGAGCAAATGAAAATATAAATAACTATATTGATGTCCTGTTTAAAATATTATCAAGAACTCCATACAGTTAGTAAACGAATATGGGAACATATGAGACTGCCTGTTTTGCTTTTTCACTAAAATGGAAAGATGTTCCTTTTACATTGAGTGTTAAGCAGGCCTAAAAATCTCACCACTCATATAAAACTGATTTATATTCTTTTTACATACAACTCTGTAACAAATTATATTGGATAAATAATATATCCACCAATAAGGTTAAATACAGGTATTTTCTAAAAAAGTCATTATCAGCTCACTATCAGCTTAAACCCATTTGTACAAAAACTGCTCGATCAAGTTACTAAAACCACCTTGGGTAATTAAAATTGAATTTTTTATAAGGACTATTTTTGCAATATGTATAGCGTATGTCTAAGCTGAGAGACGTAAAAAGCAAATGAAAGTAAGTCAATTCAATTAATCTATTTTCCAAGTTGAAAAGTTGCAAGCAGTGGTGTGTTGTCAAAGCTGCTGTCATTTCGAGTCAGGTTTATTTACAGCAGTGGTGCACAGCCTGTAAGCCGAGGACTGCATACAGCCCATAGGGGTTCTGCGCTTTGCCCACAAAACATTGTTAATGATTTGTTTACAGTTGCTGATAGCACACAACATTGTGTGCTCCCTCTGCATCCAATCAAAGCGCTGCTATGGTTCAACTAGAACACCCTGCAAATTCTAAGTACATAAGCACAGTTGGCAAAATTACCCTATCCCAAGAGGCCGTCTTCGTTATCACAATCTTGTGACTCACTGAGATGAAGGAGGGCCACTCATGCAGCCCACTCACTAGATTAGGTTGCTTCTCTCTGGTTTATAGGTTCCCATCCACAGCAGTATTTTGGAATGTTAGTGGTAAACAACAAACATTATTATTTGTTTAAAAACACTGATTGTCACAACTTTTTTTAACACTAGAACAAAATAACTGTTTGCTCTGTGCTCAACCAGGAAGGCTATAGCTCTGATAATTATGTTTCTATAAATCATACTGAATTACACACATTCTTGGTGCAACGAAAACACTAAGGCTCAATCTACACTATGAAGCTAACCAGAGAAGTTGTATTCTGAACACACAGCCTTGCAATGTATCAAACACAATTTTGACTTCTCCTGGCAAAACCTTGAACTTTCTCTGGTCAAGTTAAACCAGTTCTCCAAATGACACTAGTACTATTGTCAGCATAATGCCAGTGTGAATGTCAAAGCTGACGTACAAGCAGTACTCTAGCAACAAGCCCACAAGTCAAGTGCTTCCACAGCAGAGACCACTCTGATTGAAGAAGTCTGCTGCCCTACAGTCATAATGACCAGTCCAGAAGCATGCCCATACCCCAAATAATTTAAAATTCCCACCATGTTTCGGAAACAATCTTTTTTGTTATCCCATCTTTGAATGTATGTAAGTATGGCTCCAGGTAAATTACAGCTGAACAGCTCAACAGTTTATAGTCAGAGTAAAAAAAAAACCTAGAGCACGCAGGGGAGCTGCCTGCCATCCACACTGCTGCCTCTGACACAGAGGCAGCACTGCAGGGTGGCAGCAGCTCTTGTCCATAGCAGGCCTGGGCTCGCCACAGAGAGGGGCCTCTCCATGGGATGCCGAAGCAGCCTCTTTTTGTGGGAAGAACTGCAGATAGGGCTGCTGCTGCCTCTGATTTAGAAGCAACAGTGCGGGATAGCAGGGGGAACTGGGTGGCAGGTGGGAGCTGGTCTGTGCGGGGAGCTGGTTTTTAAGATACAGTGGCAACAGCACAAGATGGTAGGGGCTCTCTGGGAGCGGAGCCAGAAGAGCAATGGCTGCTCGCCCCACCCCCAGGGAGCATTGTGTAACTGCTATTCATTATGGGATTCTGCTAAGAAATTTGGCACTTACACAATTATTGAAGTAGCTGCTTTCTAACATCCCTAGTACATGTTGATATTACAATGAAGCTAGGTACAACACAGATAGGTTTCAATACTGAGCAAGTGGGAAGAAGTTGCAGCAGACTTACCTGGAGACAGAAAAGTGCGACAAAAAGTCTGCTAGCAAGAACTGCTGCTATTATGTAGCGCTCAATGCCATTCTAAGGAAAGATTCCTATTACTGACAACAGACAATCACGAACTGCAGGGGTAGACACCCTTGAAACACAGAATAAAAAGGAGCTCCCTGAGGAGCAGGACATGGATGATACATGGTGGATGTGGACAATATGCAGAATCTCTGACACCCAGACAGTGAACTATCTGTGAGGAAGAGGATTCAGAAAGGCAGCATTTATTGCTACCATGTATACGGATTTAACAAAAAAACACAAAACCAACCAATGAATTACTTTATTGAGGGCACGCAACATTTCTTCACCCCCTCAAAATGGTGGCCAACTAGTTGCAGGCAGAGGAATTATATTTTAAAAGTAAACAGTTTATTTTAAGGGTGTGAACTGGCAGTATTAGGCAAAACAATAGACTAAAACCAGAAAGAAACAGCCAAAAAGCATTCCCAAATAAACACTTTTGCAAATACAGTAAAACCTGCACTATCCAGAATGTAAGCATCCAGAAAACTGTAGAAACTGACAAATTTCTGATGCCAGGAAAAGCAAAACAAAAAAACAAACAAAAGGAAACCAGCCCTTTAAGTGCGGGGCCCACACCTCAGACAAGTCAGCAGCATATACCTGGGGACAGCTTCCCCCCCCCCTTACCAGGCTGCATCCTGCCCCCTCGCAGCTCGTGGTCCCCTCTAGCAGGCCACATCCTGGCCTCCGCACAGCTCTCGTGCCCCCCCATGGGCCCCGCACAGCTTCTGCCCCCCCCAGATAACCAGAATTTTTAGGTTACCGGCATGCCCTAATCCCTGAGCGTGCCAGATAATACAGGTTGTACTGTAGCTAGATCTTGAAATACATTCTTTTACAGTCACTGTAACCAAATAAAATTCAACTCACTACAAACATGGAAACAAATCCAGCAGTCGTAAGCTACACAAATCAAAATCTGAGCATTAAAAAGTACAGGGTCAGCAACCTTTCAGAGATAGAGTGCCAAGATTTGACTTATTCACCTCTACGTATGGGTCCACTGCCAGTGATACTTTTTAAAAACAATCATAGTCCCACTTACAGCAGCTTCATTAATGAAGGTCAGCAACCTTTCAGAGATAGAGTGCCAAGATTTGACTTATTCACCTCTACGTATGGGTCCACTGCCAGTGATACTTTTTAAAAACAATCATAGTCCCACTTACAGCAGCTTCGTTAATGAGCAAAGATGAAGACCTTAGCTTTTAGTGCAGAAGTTGGCAACCGTTCTAGCAGCAAACCTAGATTTAACTTACTCACAGATCTGTGTGCTGGGAGAGAAGAGAGGGGAGGAAAGGCATGGGAAAGCTGGGTATTGTGACCATATTTTCTGAACCAGTTGCAGTTAGGGAGAATAGTTTAATTTAAATTATGAAACAGATTAAGTGTTTTAACTCTCTCATGTTAGTTTATCAAACTTCATTTTAAGTAAAGGGGTTGTCATTGTTTTCTAAATTATCTGTATTTTCTTGTGCTTGCTCTCAAGTAAACAGCAAAAGGATTTTAGAATCCTATATTCAGATTGTACATGTATGTGATACATACTAAATCTATGGTGTGGCCCTAATGAGTTAACCTATGAATCCTGATTGCCTGAAAGGGTAGAGTTCTGTTAAGGGGCCTCAAAGTATGCATAAACTATGGGGAAGTCTGAGGAGAAAGCACTGGGTCAAGGGAATAGGTAGTTGGATGGTGAATCCTCAGCTCCCAAGAGAGAGATGGGCGAAGGAACTGTTGTTGAGACTGTCGACATCACCAGGATGGAACCTCAAGAAAAGGAGATCTGGGAATTGTAACAGGGCAGTCACAGGAAACAAGGAGTCAGAAAGCCAAAGAAGGAAGCCTGGCTAGATTAACCCGAGAAGCAGGCTAACTAATGAAAAGTTAGACTTCTAAGGAGGTAATCTGGAGAGAGCTCAGCTTGGTGTCCCTATTTCCAGACACTTCTTCCGAAGACAGATCATGGAGGGCTTTGGAAGGGAGATATTCGTCAGAGAAGGTGACGGATTCCCCAGATCATACAAGTAACTCAGCCATAAGGCTTGGTACTGAGATGTGACATCAGACACAGACTAGTCATGGCACACTACAGATGTATATTTGTAAAATAAACATCTCAAGATAGACTTACACAAAGTAAGATGAATGGTTTGTGTGTCAAACTATTTTTAATGCTTCCAGTTCCATATTAGATTATATTTATTTTTACTAGGAAGTAAAATCCCAGTTCACTAGTTAACCAGGTAGATGTTAGGTTGACCTAATGTTTAACTGGTTACCCGACTAAAACCAGGTATCCAAGCTGGGGACTGCTCCAGCCTGGCTGCTGCCAGCTCTCAGCCCCTGCACTCAGGCTAGCGCTGGCTCTGCCACTCTCAGCTCCTAGGCACCAGTGGAGCAGTGTGGTAGGCCCGAGCTTCCCACAGACAGAGGCTGCTCTGGATACCAGAGCAGCACCTACCTACTGGGCACCCATGCTCCGTATACCAGGCACCTGGTCCTGCTGGGGACAGGGGTTTCTCCAGACAAGAGCCCACAGCAGGTGGGGAGCTGCTCGAGCGCCTGTCAGTTAGTTAACCAAAACCAGTAAGCATTACCCATTTAGGGTGATGCCTACTGGTTAACCTTTCACATCCCTAGTTTTTAACTGTAATAAAAACAATAATTTATTCTCACTAACTCAAAGGCTCACCCTGATACATGGTATTATGTTATTCAGACATACGAATATTGTTTTTTGAAGTGATGATATGTAATAATTACCACATGCTTGATCGTTTCTCTAGGTTTCCAGTAACTGGAGAGAAAAGGCTACAACTTTTTAACTCCAAGTCTAAAAGAGAC